TCCCAGGGGTGAAAAGTGCAGTCAAAATTATGTTTCTATGAACTATATTACCCGGTCCTGATTTAAGTGTCTGGCAACTCCATGACGTATTTACTATTTTTTTTAAAGCAAATATGTTTGGCAAGTCCATAACTTTCTATTGAAAGGTAGTGGTATGGTAAGACAATGAAGATAACAAAACGATTCCTGGTGCAGTTTTAGAATGCTGCGAAGACTGATTCCAAAACGAGTTTCGAGCAGCCCCGATAAAACAGAACGGCGTTCATAATGCCGTTATCATGGCTTTTATCGATTTTTTTCCACATTAACGCTACAATCTTGACAGCTTTGATAGTTCCAGTCTCGCTACGGCGTACTGGCCTCCCATAGGGACCAGGTGGAAAATTCCAGGCTAAAGAGGAAGCGCCTTACGAGAGGACAGCGGCATGGAATTTGGGAGGAGGTTTCGCAACTTTCCTCTCATTTAATTTGAAGTTTTTTCGGTAATGAGCTGTTCAAACTCGACGGAACATTACGCAATTGATGCAATGAAATGCTTGGAAAACTGATCTTTGTCGTCGAAACGGAATACGGATCTTTTTATCTTTGGTTGAAATGGGCCGGGATATCTTATTGCTGTAATGACAAGTGTAAAGAAATAGGAGACACTTTTTTAGTTACGCTTTACGCCTTTATGCCAAGTATTATGAGCTGGAAGTTCTTACACTGAAAATAATCAACCTTCAACATGCCGATAAGCAGCAGGCGCTGGTTGGACGGCATATCAAGCCAGCATTTGTTAGATTGGCAAAACCCGACGTTTTGGAACTGTACTCATTTTCACGAGTGAACAAGGTTGGAGAAAACATGACATTGAACAAATAAGACACGTGGAATACGAGAAATTCTCTGAATCTGCACAAGCATTTGCATTCATATGACATCAAAATAATCGTTAATTGGAGATACAAAATATGAATGCACATAAGTTATGAAGAAACCGAGCGATTGCTCTTAATCTGTGCGGACCTTACTCTTAAAATGACTTTAAAATCACCAGAGATTCGAGTGGCGAAATCCCGGGCACTATGGAAAGCCAGCACACTATGTTAACGCTGGCCTCCAGTGAAATGGTTTCAACTGGTTTGAATTCATTTCACTTTGAACTGGTCCAACCTTGACAATGACCTGAACAACTAACCTAGCGACAGTGATCTAAACTGCAGAACTTGAGTCGCCGGTTGCCTGTTTTGGCCTCGTATCCGCTGTTTGGAATCACTGTTAGAAACTCGTTCTTGAAAAGTTTTCCGCGTTTTACAATTTTATTATATTTTACAACGGATCAAGTCATATTCGAGCACTGCCGAGATTTGGATACCTGGGCATTCATCTCGTGGCATGTCACGGTCCCATACCTCCAAGCTAGCCAACAACGCCAACCGAAACCACTCCGACGTCCATCCATCCCAGAAAATCAGACGTCTCATGGGAATCGAGCAAAGTGCCCAAGACGCCGGCGCGGGTCAGCCAATAGAGCACCAGCCGAGCACCGCGGAACCGGAGCACGGAGGCTGCAGCACAACACGTGCTCCGACACCAGCTCCGTGGCGCGCGGCGTTGCATAACGTGGCCCGCACTTTCCCACGAACTGGCGCCGCTCACGCCCGGCCCGCGACACGGTGACGCTCGATTTCCGGCTCGTGCCCGACCGGGGATAGTGCCCGAACTCGGCGGCGACGTCGCCAAGAAACGCTCAAATACCCCGCGGCGAAATCTGGAGACGCAGTGCGAGCGCGGCGGTCCTCGCGGAGTGGCGGCGGTGCTGGCGGCTTCCGGGTCAGGTCATCGGAGAACGCGCGTAGTTGGTTGAGATCGGGAGTGTCGGTCGAGAATGCGCTAAGTTGCGGGTGAGGATGGACGTTCGTGAAATGGAGGTGAGGGCTTTGCGTGATGTTTTCTGTGAGAGAGGGATAAGCTTTTGGTGGTGTTTTAAGCAGTGTCCTAGCGACCTGGTTTCAAGCACACCAAAACAACGTTATTGCGTCCTTGGACCGCTTCACTGCCATTACAAGGACCTTGCAAGGCTGTAGCTGTGTCGGATTCGTCCAAAGTCATTTCAAGCACTTAATCCGCGTGCTGTGGTTGAAAAGTCACTGAGTATGTTGGTCCTCCAGCGCATGACCTTAACCTATATGGCCTGCCAGTGAGAAATAAGGTAATGGGGCTGCATCGCCAATTTTACCAGCCTTACACGAAACTCGAATTGAGGTGTGACAACCCAATCTGTCATATTCTTGTGAGTTACTTACCTTCACGATTTCCAACCGGCACTTATCACCCTTCCCTGATTGTCCTGTTCTTCAACCCAAATGTCCACATGAATGAAGCACATTGGGACCTTAAAATGACACTTGTGGCACGCGTCACGGATCTCTTCGGCACCGGAGTCAGACTAAGGCCGACTTAAACAAAACAGAGGTCAGGAACACAACATTGGACTGATGTAATGACGTCAGCATGTTACATTGGAGTGAGCGTGTATACAACTAAAGCGGTTGACCCGCCTTTAAACCACAATGGGCTGAAATCCTACACGTACATCAAAGACGATGCTGCATGCTTAATATTTTTATGCCAAATTCCAATTTTTGTTATGCCAAAAAGTCAAAAAGTTGGCTTAAGCCGTAGCATGCTGTACTCCTGTTATCCAGGAAATCGGAAGCAAGAAGACGTGGAGCACTTGATCTTGATTATGGGAATCCTGGTTCAAGGCGGTTGTGGCCGACTGGTGGCTGCGCCAAGCACGACATAAGGATAGAGCCCGGGCTCGCCAGGTTGGCTGAGGAGATGCACACTGGACGACGTGTCTGACTGTAGCTCAGCGTGGCCAGGTGGTTGAAGAGGTGCACACTAGGCCAGATGTCTGACTGTAGTTCAGGGTGGCCAGGTTGGCTGAGAAGGTGCACACAGAACCACGTGGCTAACTGAGCTTGAAAAAGTGACATGCTACAGATTCCATACTGAAATATACAAATAATACATTATCACATTTTATACAATATAATATTTCAGTAGGCTTTGACGATAGTTGAAAAGTATGTTAAGCGTACCTATATATATATATATATATATATATATATATCTATCTCTCTCTCTCTCTATCTCTTAGCTCTCTCTCTCCTCTCTCTCTCTCTCTCTCTCTCCTCTCCTCTCTCTCCTCGCTCTCTCTCTCTCTCTCTCTTCTCTCTCTCTCTCTCTCTCTCTTCTCTCTCTCTCTCTTCCCTCTCTCTCTCTCTCTCCTCTTCTCCTCTCTCTCTCTCTCTCTCTCTCTCCTCTCTCTCTCTCTCTCTTTCCTCTCTCTCTCTCTCTCTCTGCTTCTGTATACATATATACATCTTTTTATGTCAGATATTGCAGCCAGGTGGCCCTCAAACTAGAAAAAGCATGGTGTTTTGGTAAAAGTTTTGTTCCAAACCTTTCGGCCATTCCCACGTACGTGCGGTATCAGGAGCCCTGCTCGAGCCGATCGCACGAACAAACCGGCACGTGCGGCCGATTTTAGTGCATTCCCAGGCTTGACAGCTCCAGCCAGGGTAACCAAGCAGGTGCAAGCTGGGCAAGGTGAAAAGCTGTTTTCGTTTTTCTAACGCCGAGTTTCCGTTTTAATGCGATTTTTTCGTTGTTCGGCAGAAACAGCCTTTTGCCATTATTTCATTGTACGAACAGGCGCAGATGCTGGGACTGTTTTAATTCCAAAACGGTTCACGCAAGCAGGTTGTTCCAGAAACGTTCTTTAGAGCAAAACCTCTCCTTGATGCTGCAGTACTACTGCAGCTCGTGAAGTGTTTTGAATGACTTCACATGCACCTCGCCTTTTCCCTCGCAACTCTCATTCTCGTTAGGAAAAGGACTCAGGCGTCTCCGACAACGCTCAAGTAATACGCACATTTCCACTTGCCCGGTTCAGATGAAAAGTGATACGATGTTTTCAAGATTTACGTCGCTGCTGCGGGCATCAGTACCGCAAATCCCACGCCGCTTTCGCCAGGTGGATGAATGGTGGGTGGGGGGGGGGGGGCAAAGTCAGAGGTCAGAGGGTCGGAGGAGGATGCCCAGCTTGCCCGCTGCTCAACAGCTGATCCTATGTGACTGATCTACAAAGCAACCCCAATCTGTTCCCACTTTCCCTCTCGAAGGCTGTGTCAGGTTTTGATAATTCAAGGACTGCGTTAGTTTGGCCGCCGAAAACAAAACGCATCACGCGTGGATGCTTTGCGAAGTTGAAGTTTTGTATTTGTCTTTAGTTCGCATGTCACACATTTTACCCTTTAATGTCTCTGCCACTGAGCTCAGTATTCACGGATTTCGAGCTCCTCTTACAGGTCGTAATCTTCTGGCGTTGGTATTTTATTGTGGCGTCTCGCCGTAGGTGCGCTTGTTTCCGCAGGTTCGAATCCCACGACAAGCAAAAACCAAGCTGGTCAACAGGTAACCGGCTGAAGCCAGCGGCTTATGTTTTCTGTTGATAATATGAGCAGTCCAAAAACATGCAGCTTCATCGTATCTGGGAAATAAGGCATAGTGATAACAAAAACCTTTGTTTTAATCTTGCGGCAAATGGGGTGCATCTGCTTATAGATATGACAGTGCAGCAGGCCATATTAATTGTAGAATAACCAGGAGAAAGGAGAGATAGATGTGTATTTATGCATCAACCTCGCCTTTCTCCTGGTTGTTCTACAAGACATGTGGCTAACAATGCTGTTTTTTCTCTACGCATAATGTTCCTCGCAAATGCATCTAGCAACTTACGTACATCTGCATATGAACTACATTACCAGACCGTCACATTAAACAACTGTGAAAAGCCATTGTAATGGATCGCTGTGTTCATTATCAAGAGCTCAACAGATATACAGTGAACGTAACTTTTACAATCACTGACATTACAGCTTTCGCATCGATATATCGGGTGTTGCGCGTGGGATCCCAATGCGGCGCACTTAGTCCGTAAGCTGGAAATGGTTCATGTAAGTGCGTACAGATTTGTTTCAGAAAGCACGACAGGCATTGCAGCGTAAATGATACGCCTGTTGATGAAAACGATGACCTTAGCGTTTGGGCGCGTCGATGTCGGAGATCATCTTGGGTCCAAGCAATATGTTTGTTGAACTGCGGAACAATGTCAAATTTATGATTTTGCTTTGTATGTTGGTGGCTGCCACTTCCTTTGCAAAGCGAAGGCAACCAAGGCGAACCGACCATTAAACATCGAATCATACCACAACTTAACGATAATTAGTCTAACAGCATTCTACAGACACGTCTTTCTTCTGTTTTCTGTTCAGAACTGCCTTACTGACACGTAGCAACTGACTGAAGTCATCTCTTCCGCAGGCCTTCCTCCTTCCTCTGCTGCTGCTGCTGGTCGCTGAAACTGCCGGAATGGAACCGAGCCCTCCGGTCAAGTTCCCCGCCAACCTCGCCGAGGCTTTCGCCATGGGCAGAAGCAACCACGCAGGAGCACAGAATCCGCTTGCTGGAGATCACGCTGGAGCGCCTGGTGCGGAGCAGCCGTCGGCCAAGCGGCTGTTTGACGGACGGTCTGAGTTCAAGAATGATTATGAACGGAAACACGAGGATGCGCACCAGGTGAGCGCTATTCTGGAATGCAGTATTAAGGCTGCTGCGCTTGTCTACCGTTTTCAAACAGTGAGAAATACATTAGTGCTATCCCACTTTCGTTTTCACGAACAAATCTTCGCTGCCAGAAAATCTTAAAAAGTTTTCGAAAATCGTGCAGACATGTCCATGCTGCAAGTAGTTTCAGCACATCAGTTTCAGCTTAATAAAACTTCGTAAATGTAGTAAAACCACTGCGGTCATATACTTTTCATATATTTTTGAAGCCTTGCATCAGTAAACCTTACCCCTTGTTTTCAGCCTCTGTGAGATATCTCAGAGCACTTCACCCAGTTAACCATAGTGAGGCTGAGAGTTCCCCACTTCCGTTTTGTTTTGCCCATTGACTGAAGCAGTACGCCCGTGCCAGCTGTCAGTGCATTCTAACTCAGTCTCAGATGCATGCTCTATCATATGGTTTCTAGTGAAGAGGGCAAATGGTTTTTATCGGAAATGGGGCTTTTAAGTGGAAACTTTCTCATGGGAAAGAGGCAGAACACTGAAGATCTGCGATGAATGCGCTGAAAAGTGCTGCGAGCTACCGTGACACAATGGCTGAGTAATTAATTTGCCGTGAGCGTAAGCGATGCGTAATTACCGAGCGCAGAAGCCCTCGCGCGTCGTAGTCCGCCAATGGCCAATTAGCCAATGGTCAATGGTGACCGGCCCTGACGCACTCGACGCCGCCGGCCGGGCTACAACAATGGCGGCATCCGGGGTGTGACGTCATGGTGCTGCACTCGCCTCTGCCGCTGGCGTAAGCGCCAGTCAAGGTGCTTTGGCGGCCGTGGTTCCCGGGTGAAACCCTTCGGTTCTCTGATGTTATGCCGCGCAGCGAGGCACCGGCCGTCTGATGTCCAGAAGCCGGCGCACGGACTTCGCCGGGACAGTGTTTGGCACGTTTCGATACTTCTGAGCATGATGAACGAAAACTTGTGATCAAGTGACGCATCTTTGTCAAGTCAGCAACCAAGAGAACGCCAGTAAAAGACGGGACATAACTCCCCCCCGCCACTGACAAACGTTCATTTTAGAAAACCGCCATTTGAAAATGGCCTCTGGAGCAGATTTGCAAACTACTTATAGATGAATGATATTATACCAATAGCCAGATTCGCTCGACAAGTTGCCCTCGTCGCGTAGCGTTATCATTTGTATAACTTCTATGAATATAATTGAAATAATTCATGCCAGGATAAACAAAAATGGTCATGAGAGATAGGAACCACCAGAAAGCAGCTGACAGCAACACTAAGCAAATGGCAACCCTTAAAAGGAGGATCGTAGTTCAAGGCCATAGCACCATTCATATAACGAGTCCTAACGACTGACAAAACTTGACCCTGTGTTTTTCTGACAATTGCATAACCCCCGACTTTGAATTGTCTTCCAATCCCCTGAACTCCCCATCCCTTTTAGACCGCACAATTCGTGACCTCGGATCGACCTTCTGACCGTTGTTCTGACCGCAGACTTCTGACCTTGGCACAACATGGCTCCGACGTATTGATCTTCTTAAGGTCATTACCTTTGACCTCCGGGCTTTTTAACCTCTGCACCACTCCTGACCTTATGACCAATGCACGACTTCTGGCACTCGGCCGCTTTTGATCTCCCATCCTCTGATCCTTTGCGTGACCCCTCCCCGCAGGCGGTGTTCAGCTCGTTCACGGACCCCGCCGAGATGTACAGCGGCCCCGCAGGATCCAGTACCCGCCGCCCGGACCGCGGGACACGTACCACCCGGACCAGAGAGACCGGTCCAGTTCCACGTCACCCGGAGCGTCCCATGGGATGTCCCGGGACGCGGCGGCGCCGCGCCAGGGCGGGTACGATGACGGCAATTCGCACAGCTACGGCACCTCCTGGAACAACCACTACCAGGCGCCGACCAAGAGCAGCAGCTACGACAGTCCGCTACGACGAGCCGGAGAGAGGCAGCTCCAACAGGTCAGTGAGAGGCCAAGTGACGTCACGAGGACGGATGACGTCACTGGGACGGGTGACGTCACGGGGAACGGGGGTCACTGGGACGGGTGACGTCATGGGGGACGCAGTGACGTCAATGAAACAGGTGACGTCACTGGGACGTGTGACGGGACGTGGTGACGTGTCTCCCCGAGAATCCCTAAATTTAGCGTGGCAGTGCAGCATGCGTGAAAAGAGGCAAAGACATTTGTTCTGCGAATCCTTAGGCAGTTTGCGTACGGTGTAGGCTGTGGGCGCTAAACGTCACCAGCTGCTGTTGGAAAGCAGTCGGAAAAGTTGTCTGGAGTGGGGATCGAACCCACGCTCTCAGTTTTCGTCTAGGATCGAGTCGTTACGATTGTGAATAAAAGGTTGCTAAAATTTGAACTATTGGGATGTGCATATGACGCAGCACCGAGCATTTCGCTGTCTTCATACCAGTTATGCACGTGTCGCGATTTCATGCATAATTAGTCAATGAAAGTCACAGCGTCTCATCCGGAACGGTGCCAATAAGTTTATGCTGCAGCTGCAAGGTATGAGTCACTGCGGCGCTGAACCGGGTGCAGATGCCCTAACGAATATGTTTACCGGAGGATGGCTGGTTTATGTCGGGTGTCAGCGTTAACAACGTGTGCGGTCCCACTCCACCTATTTTTGCCGTTGCGCCCAGCACTACCACGCGAGTCATTAGCAACGATAGCCGCAATACTCACATCCCTCACACTCTTAATCTAGAACATCTCGGAAACCGAACCTCACTGCACCTCATCTCGAGACCTACATTTGATAATGAGCTCAATTCAAGGTACGTCACGCCAGCCACAGCGCTCCCGCGTGCTGCCGATGGCCCAGAAGCCGCCCGCGGACCGTATCGTAACGCGATGTCTAGCCCGGCTGGCTGAGCACCCGCCGCGGTTCGCGGGCGTACGCTGGTCCAGATGTTCAGCCAGCAGGACGGGATGCCGTTGGCGCCTTGCCTTGGGGTGGTGTACGGCTGTGGCGCTGAGCGCCGAAACTGAGACATCAACGTCATCTTCGAGGGGAGAGTGAGAACCTTGAGGCATATCGCAAAAATCAGCGGCGATAGATGTGTGGGACTAGTCGGACGTGTGTGGCGGTACAAAGAGCACCTAGGCAAAACAACGCATGAGATCAGCGAATGATTGTAATGCAATTTCACGTCTTAAAAAGCTGTCCAAAGCCATAGACATACAAAAGTATCTCGCATAAGGTATGGTAGCCACCTTTAATACCAGAGACAGGTGCAATCACGGCACATATTTTTTAACGTCACAGCCAACTGCCACGATGGGCTGCGAACAGGCTTTTCTTTGACGCCATTGAAGAGACGGAACACTAGATATAAAAACTTACAAACATTTTTTTCTCAAAATTCCTCCCATGGTTTACATGGATGGCTTCAGACTCAGAATACCTGTTAGCATGGCTTCTTGCGTACGTCCAGAACCCATCACTGAAGCCGTGCCATCAGCTCAAGCGGATAATTTTGCCTCCGCCATTTTCACCAGATAGGCTGCGGAGAGCGTTACGTGCCACATAATCACACCTCGTTTGATCGCACAGAACAAAATTTTTGGGAGAGACAGCGTACTTTCGTTACGCTTTTCTTCGGGCTTGCTCACGGCTGAAGCCAGTCGTGTTCGATCCATAGGAGTCAGCTATGGCTTGTTCCCTGTCACTCCTCAGCTTTGTTGCGAGTACAACATGGGATGGTGCGGACATGCGGTGTTGCGCATTGAAGGCTGGCATGTTTGGACTCGTGTTTGGACATGAGATCGGACCGCTTTGCATGGTATTGCGTCATTAGCGGATAACGATAAACGTCAGTTTGACTTACAGATTAGTTAAATGTCAACTGGCGCATGATGATCCAAGTAAGCATCAAGAGACTACCGGAAACGGCACTCCATGCGTTAAAAGAATTTCATAGAATATTGGTGTGCATGCTGCCATACACATCGCACCTCGTTATCACCCGGTCTTCAGACGTCCGGTCCGCGTCCGGTCTTCAGACGTCGCCTGATTCTGATTCTGATTCTGCGCCGACAATAATGTTCGTTTCCACGATCGGACAGGTACGGGGACGACGGTCGGCGGCAGTACAGTTACCAAGACGGTGACCACGACTCCGGCAGCTACCACTCCGAAGAGCCCTACGGAGACCGCTACAGTGGGGGAAGCCACCACAGCGGTGGCAGCAGCGACTACGACGGTGGCCGACACGGCTACGGTGGCGGAAACGAGCACAGTGATGGTGGATACGGAGGTGGAAGAAACGACTACGGTGGAGGCGGAGACTACTACGGGGGAGATGAGAACGAGTACGATAGTGGTAGGCATGGATACGGTGGCGGCGGCAGAAACGATTACGGGGGCACAGATGAGTACGGCCGCGGTGGAGGCCACTACGGCGGTGGTGGCAATGAACACGGTGGCGGCGGCCACGGGTATTATGGTGGCGGAAGTTACGGCGGATCAGAGAGGGACTCAGGTCACGCCACTGACCCGGAGGATGAATATGCCGTCTACAGCCCTAAGATGAGCAGCAAGTTCAGGAGCCGCCATGACGGAAATCCTGGCCACGGAGGCCATGGAGAGCGGTTTGGGTCGGCCTTCGGTCCGCCCTTCAAAAGAAGTGACATCCGGCCCGTTACGTTCTCCGGGGAGAGGAAGGGCGACCTCGCGGACAGCACGATCAAGCATGAAGGTGCCACTCCGAAGGACGACTTCACGGGGTTCATGGGTGACCAGCACCACCAGAAGCTGATGCAGAAGATTAAGGAGAAGACGGCCAGGGCGTTTGGCGGGGTCGAGAAGCGCACAAAGGTCAGGGAAGCGTCGCCAGAAGGTACTCGCTTCTTCGGTGGACCTGGAAATATGTTTGATGAAAGCAAAGAGGCGGGGAGGCGGATAAGAGACCAACTTCCACGTCATGCACCTACTTTCGGCAGCGGCAGAAGGCCTGTAGCAATATACCAGGAGCGTGACAACGCCAACAATCGGGTCAAGGAAGACATGTTCCAAAATCCGCACGGATTCAGTGAATTCATGGATCCTGGTCAAAAGTTTGACCACAACGACGACGGCGGGGAACCGGACAGGAGCAGACATCCCGAAGATCTGCACGGGTTCGAACACTTCGATGTGCCCATCGTCGTTTTCGAAGGTGATGGTACCAAGCGCATAGAAGAGGAGGAATCGCCGCCAGGTTCCTTCACATTTGACGACTTCGTAGAACCAACTATCTCATTCGGAGGCGATCCTCATCTGAAGGACGAGCCTTCTCACAATCCTGAACCATTCTCCGACTTCGGGGAACCCGAGAATATGTTCGACGGCAACGGAAACGATGTGTTCAGCAGCGTAGGCCAAGACCGCCATGGAAGTGTCCACCAGGGCCACACGAACAATGACCTCCATTTGCACCACGACGGGGAAACGCACCGCACCGGATCAGGGGACGACCACAGCATGGCGATGCCGTACCCTAGCAGGTACCAGGAGGGCGCCGCCGTGGCGCGAGATGGCAGCGACGCAGGTGCCTTGCTGGCGGAGGCCTCCAGCGCTTTGCGGAACCGCACCAAACGGGACACGGCTTCTGTGCCTGGCCACGGGAAGGCGTCCGATCCCGTGAAAACGAAGTTCAGCGAGGCGCGGTTCCAGAACGTGAGGCCGGTCATCCACCGGTACTACGACGGAGTGCCACACGAGGTGCACCGTCACATGGGGGATGAGGTCCATAAGACGCCAGAAGGCAGGATAGAGCTGACGGAATCGGGCCTGGCGGACGTCCGGCCGGGCGGTGTCGGTCTCCAAGACCCGCGCAATCCTGCACTTCATCGCCGGGAACGAATCAATCGACCACCGTTGGCGCTCAGGGACCACCGAGGGAACGTGAACCCAGTGCCCCTGTACGCCCCACCGGGGCGGCTTCCGCCCAGGGACCTGCCGCTTCTACCTAGCAATCCCTATCTGAACCAGCTGCGGCGACAGCGCGCCAGGAACGGTCCGAGGACTCTCTACCCTGGTGTTGTTCGACTTCCCCTGCAGAACGAACGGGACGTGTTCGGTGGTCGCCCGCCCCTGCAGTTTGAGAGGAACGTCTTCGCCCGTCATATTCCCCGGCACGTGGACGGCGTTACCTTCGGTAGCCGACCGCCTCTCAGGGAGCAGGTCGTGGCCCCGCAAGGTCTGCCAGCCCTGGAATATGGCCCTGACGCGTTCGGAGGTCGGCCAAACCTGGAAACTCCCAGGGATGCCGCACATTCCTTTGATGGTCCTCCAGTCCAGGAATCTGTGAGGGAGTCGCTAGGCGAGCGTCCCTCTGTGCCCACACAGGGTCACTCACACCCAGACACGAGCCATGACACCTCATCACCAACGCACTCGCAGCAAGTGAGTCCGGGGTCTGGAGGACCTCCACCCCTGACGTCAGCTGACGTCACCACCAGAGAGACGCCCCCTGGCGACGGACAGCTTCGCATCCCGCAGAAGCTCAGGGACCTGAGGCTCGACGACAACCTTGTAAACGTTGACACCCTGTTGCATGTCCGGGATGGCCAGCGGCCTTCAACTGCAGGAGTCGCTGGCCCGCTTCGCCACCAGGACAGCCTAAGTCAGTCCTCGAACGTCGCAGCGTACAAGAGACAGGCGGACTTCAACGTACAAGAACGTACAACGTACAAGAGACAGGCGGACTTCAAGCCTGGATTCAAGCCTGGCGTCCTCCACCGCGGCTTTCTGCCCATCGTGCCGAAGCATCACATCAGCCGACGGGCCCTGCTCGGCGGCGCGCCTGACCCTGATCCCGTCGTGACCCCTGTGACCCCCGAAGCTCAGTCGCTGACCCCGGAGCATCGATCCCTGACCCCGGCTGGTTCAGACGTGGCGGAAATGCCGACCGACGTGTCGGTGTTCCGCTCCGCCCCGCTCCTTCCACCCGACCTGTTGAAGACCTCTGTTGACCCTTCCGCAGCACTGTCAAACTTTTCCACGACCTGGGAAGACCTAGCACAGGCTGGGTCCAGCAGACAGGCCATCTACCAGCCGCACTACAGCAACTACAAGGGCCGCCAAGGGCATCGGAACTACATGTCGGAAAGCGACCCATACGAGAGATACCTGCCAAAATACGACGAGAACGACCCATACTTCAGGTTAGTGAAGTGACAAGAATATCGCCGTGATTCGAAAAGGCATCGCAAACCATAGAAAACTTTCAGTCGTCGCGTTCGAGAGATTTTTTGTTTTAATGCCTTAATCTTCCTAATAATCCGCCCCTTGCAATAACGACCAAATAGTTCAGAGCTACGAACGGCGGTCAAAAGGACCAACATACATGATTAACGCATTCGGAATCTGGTTAAGAACGCGCTGAACCAAGTAACTTCAACCAACAATTATTGCATGTGCACAGTACACAGTGGCCACACAACGGCACAACCGATGCTGGCTAATGCCTAGTTATGCATAACTATCGTCTCACACGCTGTCCACAGTCTGCACTTGCTCAGCTAGCCCTCGCATATGAGTTTACGCAGTCCCAGGATGCTTACTAAAAGCCAGCGCGAGGGCACCGCCTGAGGCGAGGTGTTTGGCAGGTACGCGTCCCGTGAGAATATTCAGCACTCCCACGCCGAAGATGGCCCGGCTGAGAGAGAGGACCTACGGCTGGAGCGGCACAGGCAGAATGATTTCTACGGCGGACGTGCTGGGGGGAAGGACCGGTACCGCCGCAGGGACAGACCTGGGGCAAGGTCAGTGCGATCACTCGGTGAAGGCTAGTGGGGTCAGTCAGGGTCATGGTCAGTTGCGCTTGGTCAGGTCTAAGCTTTGTGGGATTCGTAGACTTCAAGAAATTTGGGATCAGTGACCTTAGTCGAGTTCAGGCAGGGTCAAGGTCATTCAGGTCGGCCAAGATTAAGTGTAATGTGGACCACTCGGGGCTAGGCTTGGTGTGGGCCAGTCAGGGCCAAGTTCGGTATGGGTTGGTCAGAGCTCGATTTAGATGGTCGGCAAATGCACGGGTTGTTATGGGTCATTCTAGTTCAATTTTAAGACGGCTGATGACCAAGTGATCACTGGACACTTGAGTGGGTAATTCGCTCACACTGGACACGTATCTGCCTCAGGGACGAATATGGCGACAGCAGCATCAGCGACTACGTCGAAGAACGTCCCCACTACAGCCCGCGACTGCGGACGGCGGGTGCACACGGTCGCGGCTACGACGCGTCGTATCCAGACTACGACGCCGAGGAGTACGAGACGCGTCCCAGGTCAGTGTGACTCGCCAACGAACGTGCTCCTCTCGCTCACGCCACGCGAAGCGTGCGTCGTTGGTGGAGCGCTCTCCAATCGATCGTGGGTTGTGGGTCGTGGGGGCTTGCGACGCACTCGGCTGCTGAGGTCGTGACGTCGCCTGCCTCTCACCCTGGCGGGAAGGGCGGACACCGCGGAGAACCAGCCCTGGTGGAGGAACCTATGGACAGTTGCGGAGCCACGCAGTTTTGACATGGGTGCTAGCCGCGCCATGTCAGGTGGTGATTGCTAGTGTTTTGACATGGGTGCTCTCCGCGCCGCGTCAGGTAGTGATTACTAGCATTTTGACATGGGTGCTCTCCGCGCCATCTCAGGGAGGGATTGCTAGTGTTTTGACATGGGTGCTCTCCGCGCCATCTCAGGGAGGGATTGCTAGTGTTTTGACATGGGTGCTTTCCGCGCCACGTCAGGTGGTTATTGCTAGCGTTTTAATATGGGTGCTCCCCGCGCCACGTCAGGTTGGTGGATTGCTAGTGTATAGACATGGTGCTCTCCGCGCCACGTCAGGTGTGATTGCTAATGTATTGACATGGGTGCTTCTCCGCTCCACGTCAGGTGGCGATTGCTAGTTTTTAGGACATGGGTGCTCTCCGCGCACGTCAGGGTGGCCGATTGCTAGTTTTTCAGACATGGGGTGCTCTCCGCGCCACGTCAGGTGGTGATGATGCTAATGTATTGAACATGGGTGCTCTCCGCGCCACGTCAGGTGGGCGATTGCTAGTTTTTAGACTGGGTGCTCCGCGCCACGTCTCAGCTAGTGATTGCCAATCTTTTGGAGTATCTGTCCCGTCGTAATCAATCACGGCAATATCCCGACAGCTGACATAACATATCCCTCGGACAGCTGACATAACATATCCCCGACAGCTGACATGCGTGCTGGAATGTCCACCGTTTACAAATGCTGTGGTTAAGTTGCGTCATGAGAATATCAAGATGCGGGATGGAAGCGTCACGCCCGTTTACAAGTATGATAGAAGTTATACAAATTGTAAGAATTGTGGTGATACCTATAATATATGGCGCTTACCGAAAGTTATGATTTCCACGAAGTCATATAGGAGGGTTCTCAGTAATTACGTTATAAAACTGATCATATGATTGGTGCCTTCTCGCAAATGCGCACAAATCGATGCAATTCGAGGATTAAGAAAGGTGGCCCACCCTGATGCTGGCAATATAAGAGCTTTATAGAGAATAACGCTAGATATCGCGCTATTCCTCATCAAGGGTGGCAATTTGGTAACGAGTAATTGCCTCACTGAGGCCAATTGTTTTTCCTCTCTTCGCGCCTTGGACTCTCCTCTTAGTTTCATTTTCTGCTTGCTACGATGACAACTCTATCACAGCCGTCACAGAGGCTCCAGTGACTCCAGTGACTCACAGTGACTCTAAGTCGAGACTCCGAGCTGACAGCGGTGGGTCGTCGCTTCAAAGCAGCCGGGTCTCTCGCGCTCGCGGGTCCGTTCGCGGCGTGACCGCCGCCTTCCGCATGCTCACACGCCAGCCGCCCCTCCCTCCCCGGCTGCCGTGATGAAGCGTGACAGTCAGACGACGCCGTCACGACGCGAAAGTGCGGACTGGCAGGTCAGCGTTACTGCCTGTTTGTAGCAGGTGTGACCGCAGTGACGGGCGGAACGCGGCGGGCCCGCTCGGCCCTCGCGCACGAGTTGCTCCGCGGCGTGGTTTCTCCCGGTGAGACGGCGCTTCGAGGGCAGCGGGTGGAAATTAGAAGGTGGAGGAGGGAGGGGGAGGTGGGGGGGGGGGGGGGGGAGGGGAAGTGAATGCGTGTCGTTTGCGCGACGTGTCAGGCGTTTGTTAACAGATTCTATGAGAAATGGTGCTAGAATGTAGACGGCTTTTATCTCTGCGACGTGTTCAGCAATTAGTGGCGAGGAATTCTCGGTTGTGGCATTTGATCCCGTTTTTTGCAGACATAAAAACACGTCAACAAGCCACACCTAACAAAAAGACGTCGTAATACTGGTTCCAAGTGGGTTCGTTTCATGACGCCTGATAGGGGACTGGTTTACGTATCTTCGTTATGTAACTCAAGTTATGTATAGCTCTCTGAAGCTAAACGGAACGTTAGTAGTCCAATGTTGCCGGGTCTGAATTCGAGCACCTTATGATTACACCTGAAGTTGGAACAGATGGGTGTTCCATTTTAGTTACATAGTCATGCCTTAGTTCTGCTTAGGAATTCATGGGAAACGTCAAATTTAATCGCGCATGATGAATACGACAAAGCGTCGCGTTTTGTCGCGTGTTTAGTCTCGTGACCGAGAATGACATCAACGACCTCGCCGCCGCTGTCAGCTGGTGTTTAGGTGGCTGTGATGTGATGATGTGATATAATATGTGATGTGATTTGATGTGAGGTTATGACATGCCAGTTATGACCCAATGGGACCAAATATTTTATTTCGCAAAGTAGTGATATTTTCAGTATTTTTACGCAAAATCAGATGGTTTGAGCACGTCCAGAGAGTCATAACACTCCATGGTATCCTTTGCTAAGAGCTCGTTAAAGCGATGCATTTCTTTTAGGGGTTCACCCGTGTGTGATGATTGTGTCTGTGGAGCGGTAGGTTGTTCGGTGTTATACGTAACGACCACACTCGGGCCGTCCAAACGTCACGTTACGCATGGAGGGGAGGGGATGCACTGATGTGACATGTCCAAATCGTGATAGGGGCGGGGGGTTTTGAACAGTGGGACGATACGCTGTCCAAAACGTCTGGGTGCTGGTGTCGTTGCAAACGCTAAAATATTTTTTTTTAAATATTGGAGATCAGGGAGGTCGGGCGTCGTTGGCGGCCTCTCGTAACGTCACGTCCGTTATTTGTTTTGCGTCTCTAACTCAACTAGGGGTCAGACAGACGTTCCTTTTTCAGCTGTTTCTCTTGTCACAACGGCAATCGGTTGGAGGGGGGGGGGGGGAGGGGAGGGCGTGTGGCGTACATTGTTTCTCCAGTGGAGAAGGGTGGAGAGTGAAGAATGACCACAGATGACCTGACCTGGTGTAATTTATGGTTACCCTCCAACGGCCAATTACATCTATTAGTGGTCGCCACGTAATTTGATCTCTAAGACCACATTTGAAAATGTTTTCAGGTACGGCGAGGAACGTAACAGCGACTACGTTGACAAAGACGACAGCCACCGCAGCGATGACGAATACGACTACGACGGCGACGGTTACCATGACAACGGACGCCGCGGTGGCGGTCGCTACGACGACGAGAGGAAGTATGACGACAAGCGGCCGTACAAGAAGAAGTACCAGCGGTACCACGACCCAGCGTACCAGTCCGGGCGGTACAAGGAGGGGGGCGATGAGGATGACTACTACGGTGCCCACGGTGAAGACCGAATCCGAGACATCGATGGTAAGCTCAGGTTTGGCCTTGGGGTGGAATCACTTTACACTGGGTGCTACTGAAACATTGACCGTCCGCACCTGGCACCAGCGTAGCGATTACAGGAAGATGTTTCAAAGATGAGGGCGAGGGTGACGTAGTTCGAAAATTTACCTGGACACATGCGAAGCAGGCAGGACTGCTTTTTTACCTAGACTGCATGTGAGCAGGCACCAACGCAGTGCGCGCGATGGCGCAGGTTCGTTTTCGTTCGATAGATCCCGTCTCATTAGCAAGAAGCCCAGATTTCTGTCCCGTGTTCAGCTGGAGTTACGGAGAAACTCAGCTTGGGGCGACATGAACTCGTGAACTGTGTAGTGCATCAGTCCCTGCGCCCCATTGGCGGTCGTGGTGAGTGGGCCGAAATTGAAATTTAGGAAGCTACACAGCAGCTAAATGTTTCATTCCTCGTGATGGATTACAATGAAGGCGCCTATTGTCATTCAGTGTGATTGCGTATATCTTATCACGTCGCTCAAAAAGCACCATGCTGGGCTGTCTGAGCCTATGTTAGCAATGCAAGGTTGCATGCTTCTCCGTTTTCTCGAGACATTTAAGACAGAAAAGACAGTTTCAACAATCAATAAGCAACACCAGCACCAGTAATGAGCGCAAGACCAATTTTTGCACGCGTATTCTTCAGAAGCATCTGAGCGGCTTTGCGCCATACGCGTTGTATTTCATAAATCTGCGCAAATGCTGCTGCAACTAACAAGCACCTCGACAATCAACTGTGATAACTCAACGCGAGCGAGGGGCCAACGCAAACAGCACGCCGCTCAAATGCCCCAGCAGGCCGTGTCGAAGACCTTGTAGGCGATCTCGGCTAAAAACGTGGCCGCGTGGCGCTTTCGGGCGGCGTTTGTTGCACGATGCGTGCGAACGTGTGAGAACCGTGGCGTTTTGAATGCGGCTGGCGTGGAATTGCCTCTTCGGGCATTACCTCGACACGGCCTTCTCGCTAGAGCGGCGGTGCGTGGGGAGACAGGGCACGTGGGCGCTTCTATTCACAGAGTGCGGTGAAACTTGCCGGGCAAACGGGTTTTCCGTCGTGAAACAGAAACGGCGCCAGGAGGATGGTCGAGGAGTGGATGGTACAGTCGAATTCATGGTGCTCTGTGTCTTCGCTCATGCGCAACGCATGCAACGGATTCGGATCAACTGTCTGGGCCTCTATTTTGGCAAACAAACGTGGGTTTGGAGCGGAGTATGTCTGTGAAATCGCTTGTTGTTACGTGGAACACATTATAAATCTTGGCTTTTGGCAGTGCGTTACGTAGTATGGTGGGGATTACAAAACCCCTGAATGCATTGGTTTTCTTTTTTCGGCGCTGAAAGGGACTGTCGGCTGATATTTGTTCTCTCATGATTGGTCGCCTATGACGTGGTCGTGACCAATGAAAGCGTCTAGACTGCGTGCTAGATCCTTTCCTTGGGTGAATTGAGACCACGTCCGGAAAAGCCTGAAGCCTTCCTTTGCGCCACAGAAATTTGGCATCTGCTTTCAATAATGTCTCATTAAGAAGTAAGACATGCGTGCCAGAATGTGTATCATCAGTCCTTGGAAGCCAGTGATTTGCCTGGGCTCTCTGCACTGACGTTTTTATGTTATGCATTATTATACGTTTATAATTCGAACCGTTTAAGATTCCTTATCGCATCGAAGAGCGGCCACGACGATGACATTGGATTGGACTTTGCTGGGAGGTCTCTGTGCGGACAGAGAATTGTTTAACCCGGTGCGCTCATTATCAGGTTATTGCTGTGATATTCGTGTTATGTACCAGCTTGGTTTAAGGACTACAAGCAAAGTGATGTCCACTTACGTGACTAACATAAGCTTCCTGTTCTGTGCTTCACACGATGACTCACTTATTTGATTGGGCATAATCACGAGACACCCCTCCAAATCTGTGGCCCGTGAGCATGGGCACTCATTCGTTGACGTCTTCTGTTTTTTTCACCTTTTCATTTGAGGGCAGATAGGATGACAGACACGCACGGAAACAAGATGCACCAGGCTCACATCCTTTCTGATGAAAGACTGTGGTTAATAAATGTCCGCAGCGCCGCATTACCGCTACATCAGCACACTCATCGCGTACTTTAGAAGTCTAGCAGGGAAGTAGAAATTTTGGTGCCTATGAGTAGGTGAAGCCTCTAAATTGCTGCCCGTAAAAGTGATGGATATTGCATAACTGTGTTCCTGCCTTTCAGTTGTATTTCATGTCCCGTACTCCAGGCATTGTATTTCAAAGTGTTTTATGTGTCGGCTTCCCCGAGTGGTATTTCAGCGTAGTTCACAAGCTGTTTGTCATCACTTCCCATCGCGTGGCGTCGCAGCATGGTCCAGGGTCATACAGTGCAACAGCACACATCCTAGATGAGAGCATTAATGGCCTTGTTCCTCGTTGAATAAACAGGAGAATGGAGAGATAGAAGAGAGAGGCATCTATCTCTTCATTTTCCTGTTTATTCCTCAAGCAATAATGCTATTAATACTGTCTCATCTATACGCATAATGTTCCTCGCAAATGCACTCAACAATTAACATAAGACACATCCTGCGCCGCGTTACAAACCCTTGCCTACCATGTGGTCATTTTTCCACGTCAGACACGTTTTTCAGGCGAGATTCGGCACGAGGCGTCGCGCGGCTACGACGACTCGCGCCGCACCGTGAACAGCATGCTCGACGCCATCGACGAGAAGCGCAGCGACTCCAACTGCAAGGAGGTGGCCAAGGACGGCATGACCTGCTTCCAGTGCACCGACGCCAAGGGCTTCCAGGTGAGGCGCATGCTGGCAATGATGATGGCCAGGGACGTGCGCAGGAATTCTCAGTCGGTGGGGCAACTAAAAAACTCACTAAAACCCGCCTTGGCGCGCATTAGGCGCGCCAAATTCTTTGCGCGGCGCGAAACATCGTCACATATTCTCGATTTATATGGCCCGATTTGTCTGCTTCAAATTTTGGATTGTCAACATGTTGATGTACACGCAGTAAGACACGTGATCAATCCGATAAGGAGGGGCGTGTGTTACTGGAGGCCACCGTGTGTACGCCCCTGTTGACGACAAAGGTGAGCGCACTGATCGTGATGATGGCAATGTTGATGATGATGCTAACGGCGATGGAGTCACGCGATGCATCTACGGGGTAAAATGGCTACAGCGAGCCGTCTTGAAGATGAGTACACAGGATAATCACAGGATGGTCAGTCTCCGCCCAACAAAAGTTGTGGTAAAGATGAGCACAAGATGATTAATGTCTGTCCAGCAACCGTAGAAAAATCCACACGCTGAGCGTCGTTGTCAAAATGGTGTGTGCATAATGACAGTGCTCCACGACGTACTTTCATTGACTTCAGCTCCAGCATATGGAGCTTGAGTGCGTACTTGCTTCCACCGGACATAAGCGTACCAGTGGACTATCGACGACGATCGCTGATGGGGAAAGTCACAGCGGCTGGGTGTTGGGAAGGGTGGGGATATCCAAAAATTGAAGCGCATGGTTCCGTCTGTCGCACATCAACGCCGCCGATGACCCCTCCCCCCTCCCCCACCAGACTGAGGACTGTGCCTACGCCAGCAAGGACCCCAACAACCACCACGTCAGCTATAGCGAGTCGTCCTCCTATGGTGACGACAAACGACGCGGCTACGAGAAACGCGGCAAACTGCGACGCAGGCCAGGCGGGCGACGGCTGCGCGATGGTGGCGCCGCGTATACAGACGACGACGAAGCTGAGTTCTATCCCGATGGTGGCGTCATCTACGACGATGACGGGCGTGACATTCGCGGCGGGTACGGCTTCGCGAACGGACAGACTGGGCGGTTCCCGGAGGCTGAGGAGGGCGAAAGGTCGCGACTCGAACAGCTCGAGACGCCCGGGGCGTTCCAGGTGGGTCGTTTCCGAGACTCGTACACGGGCGGCTTTCGGGCGCGACGCAAGCGCCACCTGGACCACGGCCCGCGCCACTACGTCGTCGATTCGCGCACGAACGAGGTGTCACCAGACCCCGTGTACCGCTATCCCGTCCTGAACCGGTCCTACACGTCGCAGGCCCTGGCGAGATTCATCGGCGACGATGACGGGTTCGTCGACGTCGACGCGGAGGCGCGCCGCGCCCGGAAGTACCGGCGGTACCGCGCGCGGCGCCCGGACGCGCGGCGCCGGCGTGGGTACCGCGAGTCAGGCGTGGTACCCGAATACCACCGGCACGTGGAGTCGTCCCAGTCGTCCGGTGGCGGGTACGATGAGTACGCAACCGGCTCGCCGGGAGGCTACTCGGGATCCTTTGCTCCGGGGCGGGGGGAAGAGGACGATGACATCGGCTACCGCCTGGCTGACGACGGCGACGCCATCGGCGAGGTGTTCGACTACCGCTTCGGCGAGAAGCCGATAGACGGCAGGTTCGTCGAGCGCCTGGAGAGTGAGCGTGAGGACAGGCCGGCGCCTGCCGAATACGACGGAGACTATGGGGACAGCGATGGGGAGGAAGACTACGGCGATCAGGGAGTGAGGAGGTACCCGGAGTACGACTATGAGGACGAGGAGCGGCCGCAGCAGCGCAGCGCCACCGAGTCCGCCAGAGGGCGCGCAAGGTGAGACCTGCGCATACTTGGTCACTAGCTGGTCACTGTACCGGTCATGCGCATTCGACGCCGGAAATAGAGCTAATAGATGACATAGCACAATTGTGAGATAATTTGTTCGTGAGGTCTTAAGCTCGTCATGTCTTAATGACGCTTTCCTTTCGGTGTTACACGCACGCTGTGAAAGTAGTCTGATTGGCTAAAACCCCTTAAACTTCTCACCTTGCGGTAAATGGCCAAGGGACCATCTGAACAAAATTCTCCTCTTGGAAAGAGCACATCTAGGTTTCTTTCGTGCACACCTGACCTGCACCCTTGAGCCATGCATACTGGCCGGTCACGGCACGCTGATCACCGCTAACGCACACCCTCAGGTATTTCGCGGACGCGGACGAGCCGTCGGCCCGGGACGAGCGCGGCCGCAGGGACGAGCCGGCCGAGAACGAGCGCTCGTTCGGTCGCGTTGAAAAGGCCAATGCCCTGCTGGAGCAGGGGTACCGGTCGGCTATGGACGCTCCCCAGTCTAGGGACGCCGAGCCACCAGCTGCTTCCGGCGATTACGTCCGCGGGTTTCGGCCGTTTTCGGACGAAGAACGCGACAGCGGGCGGAAGGCCGACTCGAGCGATGATAGCGCCACCTTTACCGGCGATGAACGACAGGAGCGCCGCGTTGCGGACAATGCTGGCGACGGTGGCAGCGGGGGCGTCTCCGATGACGTCAGGCGTCGCCATGGCAGCCATGACGCGGACGAGAACGCCGGCGACGGTGATGGTGACGCCGCCTATACTAGTGGCGAGCGACCCGAGCGCAGCAACGCGGACGGCGACCGCGACCGCGAGCACGCCAGCGATATGCAGCCGCTTGAAAACGACGAGCCGGCCGCGTACGAGCAGCACCGCTACGACCGGCCAGACATCACCCGCGCCTACGAGGTCTCGGTCAGGCAGCGGGCGGCCATGGTGCCCGAGGCGGCCATGACCCGCGGCGGCATGCACAGCGACGACGAGCTGGCGCCCTCGCGCGTGCCCGGCCTGGCCGCCGCGCCGCCCGACCGCCGCGCCGCGGACCACTACGGCGCGCCGGAGACGCATTTTGGCGCGCCGGAGACGTTCGAGCGGCTGAATCGCGGCGCGGAGATGACGCGCGAGTACCGCGACCCGGGCCTCGAGTTCTTCAGCCAGCACCCGGCCGGCTTCGAGCACTTTCCGACGTTTGATTACGTGGAGGGCAGCGACAGGAAGAAATGATGAAGTCACCGGAGACCGGAAGTGACGTCACGGGAGACACGAAATGGCGTCACGGGAACCGGGTGCGCAGGTCTAGGACCGCTGGACGGTGGCGCGAAGGTCGGTGACGGAGGTGGACGTTGAGTGTGTCGCGTGGCCTTGTCACAGAAAGGTGACAAGATCAGATGATCAGATCAAGGTGGCCTGATCTGACCAGATGGTGACCTGATAGATAGTGTGCCGTCATCGTAGTGATGTTTCACCAAATACGTTGTTTTTGTTGCCGTTCCCTTTAAAGGTAAAAACTGGTTAAGGCTACCGCGATTTACATGTTTCTAAGGTGTGTTTTCCCTCCTTGCGGATGAGGCAGTTATCAAATGTGGCAAATCTTTATTTCCTTTCTATAGTAAATTGTGCGAGTAAAACAGAGCACACCAGATGGCACACGATGGGCGTACAAACAAGGTCAAGGCTTTTCAAGTTGACGCTCATGGAAATCCTCCCAAGTCACACTAATGGATAAATCTGCGGTTTGTTAACTCACCGCGGTATGTTGTTCTGTGGATTAACATTTAAAGTTCACGCAACAAAAGGACAAAGCGGCACTTTCAGAGAATTCCAGCCGGATGATTATTCCCTCCTAGCACCGTTAATACCTTGCCATTTGCAGGCAGTTTCTTCGTGCACCACTGCGTAGTTTCACATTTGCACTATCTTTCAGTGCCATAGCCAGAGAGATGGGATTTGTTGGATCTAAAGGTCATTATCCTGCTCAACTTGTTTTGGGTTTACTTACCTGAAAAGACGTTCAACTTGCGCTCGCAAACGTCATGTCCAGGTTTTTGAAATCCCGGGTATCGTTGATGAATTATCAATATCGGTTGGAGATTCTTACGAAACGCCGACAGATCCACGTGCTTGAGTACTGGCTGCTCGCTTTTTCTCGTACCGAAGACATGATGCCCTAGTTTTATTCGAGATGTGCTATCGCTAGCATCTGGTTCAGAATAAGCCTAAGTTAAGTGAGATGATTGTGCAATAGTTTTGTTTTTGTTTGTTTAATCAGTTTGCATGCATTGGCGTGTGTAACAATATGCGTCAGGGAAATCCCTCGCAGCATCGTTTGTCTTCAGCATAGGTTTACCATGATATGCTATGTTTGGGTTTACAGCCTCTTCAACCAAGTGATGCACTCATTTAGCGTAATTTGATACAGTTTGGTGTGCGTGAGGAGTTAAAATGTTATAGGCATGCATTTATGTAGACACTGCTCCGCTCACTATCGTTGTTATCGAACAAATAAGGGATGAAAATGTGACGCTTTTTCTGCCGTATATCAGAAGGGCTGCCGGACATTGGCCGGTATAAACACACATACACACATGTATGTATACGTGTTTATGTATATACATGCACATATATAGATATAGATATAGATATAGATATAGATAGACAGATAGATAGATAGATAGATAGATAGATAGATAGATAGATAGATAGATAGATAGATAGATAGATAGATAGATAGATAGATAGATAAATATATATATATATATATATATATATATATATATATATATATATATATATATATATATATATCTCTCTCTCTCTCTCTCTCTCTCTCTCTCTCTCTCTCTCTCTCTCTCTCTCTCTCTCTCTCTCTCTCTCTCTCTCCCTCACCCTACAAAAGATGTTGTGAACGCATCTGCCCCCCAGTCCTCACGCATCGGCTCTATGCCAAACCTTGGTACCGGCCCGTCCCTCAGGGTCGTGCCGCGACCATCAGCCTCGGGCAGGCTCAAGAGCCACCCTGCCTCTGCGCCTGCGCGTACTCCGAAGAGGTGTCCCTGTGCGTGGTGAACGAACAAAGGCCTATCACTGTGGTGGCAACACTGCCCCCGAGTTATCTGTCCGCTCCATACCAAAGCCCCGAAAGGGCCAATGCTTTTCGGAAGTTCGGAAGGGCTCAAGGTAGATCCCCTAGCCCTAGATCCTATTCCCCCTTTGGTAAAATGCATGTCTGCGCAAGCAATTATTAGTCAAATACATGTTTGTGCAAGCAGTTTTTAGAGAAATGCGTGTCTGCGCAACCAGTCCTCAGTCAGCTATACATACACACATACACACATGTCTGCGCAAGCAGGCCTCGGTCCAGTGCATGTCTGCGTAAGCGAGCCTCAGGCAAATGCATGTCTGCGCGCGCAGTCCGCAGTCAAATGCATGTCTGCGCAAGCAGGTCTCAGTTAAATTCTTGTCTGCGCAAGCAGTCCTCGGTCAAACGCATGGACGAAATGGAAGCCTAAACCTTGCGCTGCTTGACTGAAGGGGTTTACCGCACGGTTTACCGCACCAATGCGGATCGTATTTAGTTGGTGTGTGGACTGCCAGAGGCGGATCCAGGAGCAACAGACGGTGAGGTCGGGTACTTCGCTGTCTACCTGAGTCAAGCTCAACGACCCATGGAAGCAATGAATCGTGTTATATTGCTAGAAAGCTTCCACTTATGATTTACGTGCAAGTAGCTCACAAAAACACAAAAGTTAACTTGGAGGGGCAACAGACGTCACCTGGTAGTTGTTACATTGGGAAGGCACGAATTATTTTTTTCAGACTACTCGCTGAACCATACCGTTTTGATTTTCATCTTTTCTCGTCACTGGCATCATGCTCATCGATAAAGGTAATATTTTGGAAGCCTTTATAGGCGTGCGCAAAAGCAGTGTCAGACAATATACATCAGAGGCAGATAGTCACATAACAAACTTTTCTGGTCATTCTAGAGTCTGCCATAACGAACTGTCCACCCTTCAACAACTTTAGTCAGATATTCATGGAGGTTTAGGTCAGGATTTGTGACCGGGGTAGCGGCGGGAAACATTTGTCAGGGGTGGAGACAAAATCGATAATGGGGCATTGGGTGAGTATCATGCATGTCACCTTAGTAAACGCTGTGTGAGTACCGGCACACAACATTTTCTCAGATCACGTGAAAAAATTATCCCTTGTTTGGGATACACATCCCCGGAAACGCCACTCTTCACGAGTTTGGCCCGGGAAACCTGAAAATGGCGTTGCGGTTCGAAGCAGTAGTCGCGTATTTAGAAGCAGAGCCGCCAATTAGCTTGTCGAATCCAGTTATGTCCCAGCAGTTCGTTTAGGGACTTACCAATTCGGTCTTCACCCTCGCCAATTGCGATACCGAATATGGTCGGTCGGCAGTGGTGGAAAGCTACTGAGTGGGTGTAACTGACGCATGTCTTACATTTTTAATCGCCGCCCCCATTTTTTCGTTGCTGTTTATTTTTGTGTGATCGACGCGACAAACCTTGCAGAACCACTGCGATAGATAAAATCTTCCCCAGCAACAGCGCCGAACGCCTTACTCAAGATGTTACCAAAGCAGCTGTTGGCCTCCAGGTGAGGGCCGTTAGTTCGTTTGCAGGACAAATTGATGGTGACTGACTCATCGCTGCCCCTCTGGAATTTCTAAGGCAGTTATGCCAGAGCTGCGCCGCAATAGCCGCATTTCTAATCGTCAAGCCCGCTTCTCGGATCAGCCAATTGGAGGTTTTAACCCCAGCGTCTGATCAGCCAGTTGGAGGTTTTAACCCCGGCGTCTGATCAGCCAGTTCGAGGTTTTAACCCCGGCGTCACACCTGGAGATCGTGACGCCCCAGCGCCGCTTGGATTTGACACTATGACATTTTTCTCGCAAAAGCTTAGCGTTCGGCCGGATCGCAAAAGACCGTCGCCGACAAAGGTCAAAGACGTGAGCGAGTCGAATGCCTTTTAGATGTCAATCTTTTCCGCGCATTCCCATGAGCATAATCGCAGGCCTTCATGGGAAGCGTATGGGCGGTGACGTCCTTGCGCCCGTCATTCCCACGCGCAAGAACGCTGATGGATTACCAGCTGCTAAGGCCCAGGTTTACTGTGCATTTGGACTTGCTTGTACCGCGGTATTGCCGAGAGGCATTGATTAAACATCGTTTTCAAACAAGTATTCGTAATATTGCCAAACTGCGACGCTTCAAGAAGTGCTTATGGCCACTTCCTCATGACCCGGTGAGCGTGCTCGATGCTCATGTTCATTCAAGACGATCAGCTCATCTTGAAGCGTCAACCTATGCTAATATCGACAATGTTTGCTTGATAACGCCGTTCCACCAGCACCTCCTGGTGTGTTGAAGATCCATTATTGTCGGCACAAGACCTCATAACTTATTGGGCAAGAAACCAGAATCTCACGGCCTTTCTGGCTGATATGTACTAGGGGTTTAGGATTGTAAGGTGAGCAAGCAGCCACCGAGATGTGGTGGAACAGACGTAAACAGCAACGCCCTTGAACGATCCGTCTCTCTTGTCCTCTATCTCGCTTCATCCTGCATCCTCTCGGCATCCCACTTCCCCGGAGCGGGCTGCATGCGTCAGCCATGTGCGGGCCGAGAGCCCCGTGGGAAGGGGACCCCGACCGGGTACCCAGCGCGCATGCGCGGGTTAAAGCCCGGCGGTTGACCCCCCAGGCGCATGCGAGCCTGCTCCACCGTTAACCACTTCCCTTCATCCCATAGCCCTGAAGTGATCATTTCTGCTCGAAAGGGCTCTAATCCCAAAACCAAGAAACCAAGACGTCCTGAAACCTTGAAAGTCCGAACTACTTTTGCCAACGAACTTGTTTTACATCTCGGGTAACAGCCATTTTAAGCTACGTCGTTCCCCAGCCGACGTAAATGTGACCGTAAGGGAGACGTTTTACAGGCATGCCTCGTTTGAGTCGTTTGTACGCTATTTTCGTGGGCGGCAATGCGTGCAAACGGCTGGCCAATTACGGCTGCAGGTAATGCAGGCGCGAATTGTTGGAGTGGACGCCGCAGGCGGTCTGGGCGGCTCGCTTTCGGGAGCATCAGTTTAATTCGCGATAAAATGTGATGTCTAATGCAGTTTCGTGGCAGGCGATATGAAGACACTGGACAGGTTTTTGAGCTTGAAGTAGTTTCGTTCGCCCGTTCTTCTGTTGT